CCAAAATGATTAAAGGGACAAAGCAACCCCTATTTTTAAAGTATAAGCTGGTATGTTTTTGGGAAGATTTGTTGAAGTTGAGCTGCAGAGGAGTTAAAGGTCTCAGCAGTTCTTTAACCTTTTTTCTGATCAAGGGGTCCCTTGGTAATTTAACTTGGTAACTTTTACCCACACACGACATTGCTCTACTCTGCTGGTGTTCCTCTGCTGTGATCACACTGAGCTCTGCTCTCCAAAACAGCAGCAGAAATGACTGCCTCCTGTATGCAGGGTGATGGGGGAAGGACACCATTCTGTTTAATTTAGCATTGAAAATCCCACTCCCCTAGCTAAGGTGTATGAAAAATAAATTGCTCTATGCCAGCGTTAGTTTCATTGGAAAAAGTCACTTCTAAAAATCACCTCCCTGATAAACAAAAAAATTCTCCAAAACAAGACATCAAAATGAATCACATTCTTGAAAATCTCCTTTTTCTTCCAGTCACAAAATGGGGCTGGCAATATTTACATGCCTCTGGGAAGTTCTCTGGGTAAGAAAATCATCATGGCATGCAAGATCTTCTCCAAAAAGGGCATTATTTGCCTAGTAATTTGCTTTTATTGTTTTGGTCTAAAAAAACCCCAAAACATCTCCACACAAACTTTGTAGCATTACACTGAGTTTATTTTGAAAAAGAAATCAAAGAATGTTTTTTTCATCTCTGAGCCAGATGGGAAGAAAAAACAAACTTATTCCACCATACGAAAGAAAACAGATGAGAACTTTCAAAAAAAGTTTTAGCCAAGTTTTTTTGGTTTTTTGTGTTTTTTTCCCCACTAAACAGCACGGAAAAAATGAGATGGAGAGGGTGAATGAACAAATAGGCTCTGGTTTTAGGAAGGCCTGGTTTCTGGGGAATAAGGATTTCATCTCTATGGCAGTTTACTATCCCATTTATAGGTGCCCAAGTTTCTCTGAGTGTGGGTGAGCACTGGGAACTTCCTCCTTTAGCTCCTGCCCGAGCCCTGGGGAGCCTGGGGTGTCCCAGCAGAGGGGAGCCTGCTCTGGGGACAGCCGGGTGCTCACAGAGGAGCCAACATCTCTGGGGTGCACAGACACCCGCATAAGTGAGGGAGGAAAAATTAATCAAGTCTGGAGGCTGGGTCTGGAGACTTCTTGCTCCCTTTGGATGCTACAGATGTTTGCTGCTGTGCTCTTAGGCAAGGAGCCTGCACTGGGGAAAAGTGGTTTTGTTTTTTCACATGTGAATTGACTCAGCCACCTTTCCCCTGCTTCTTGCAGATCAGTTTCTTCCCACAACCAGTGGCTGCCCTTCGACCAGCTCCTTGCCTTGCCAGTGATCAGACACCAGTTCCTGCTACTTGCTAAAAGCAGAGTAGCTACTTGACAGGAGCAGAAAATTAAATCAACCATCTGAGAGAGAGAGGAATAGCAAGACCAGATCAACTATTATAAACAGACAATTTAAGCCATCATAATGGCTAATGTGGGGACTGATACAACTTAGTTCAGGACATCCCTCACCTGGAGGCCCATCTGAGGTGTTTGGTGTGCTAGGACAGCAAGCAGCAAAGGGCTTCAGCCCTTCTTAAAGGTCTTGTTCTGATCAGACCTTCATAACCATGTTCCTAGCCCCTACGTGCTGCAAGAACAAGGCACTAAACCTGCAATTATGGGATAAGATAAGCCCCAGTCATGCTCAGAACCAGGATGGTGTAAGTGAAAAGGAAGGCTTTAATGCAAAAAAGCTTCATCAGTTTGATTTTTAATATCTATGAATGTTCTGCTCCACCTCTCTCCGGTCTTCATATCCCTCTTGGTTACACACACACACACACAGAGTTAACAACATTAATCTCCATGTCTCCACTTAGTGATTCCTTTATTGGAACATTGCAAGTATTAGTTATAGACAACAAAGGAAATGAGAGTTGAGATTTATAAGCTCTAATCAGCTGAAGGCATTTCCAAATAAATTAATGAAACAAGTCAGAAATGACATTAAGAAATCCAGAACTTAATGTAAATCACAATGACTTTGTACCTTCTCTGCCCTTCCTTCTTTTTCTACCAGCAGTCCTAGTGCTTGCCAGGGTATATGAACTTGCATTTAATTTTATGTAAAACAAGAAGGATGATGGGAATGTGTGCTCAATATGACAAGCTACAATACTTGTGCATAAGAAGGAAAGCAAAATCTCAAGCTGGGATAAAATAACGTGCTATCAGTTACAACTTTCCATACAACCTGCATTATTACTCAAACCATACAGAAAGATTTGATGGGGATGTTTTCCCATTAAGGAGCACCATGACTTCCATGACAATTTCTTGGCCAATTCTGGTGTCCTGTTTGCGCTCCTGCCAATCTGTCCTTTCTGAGACATGCTCCTGAGCTGCCTTAATAGTCTCTTGGTCCTCTCAGTCATTTTAATCCTTGTTGCCATTGGACACCTCTGTTTCCTTCCTGCTGGAATACTAGGTCAAAAAGATGGTCTGTCTCAGCATGCCTGGCTGCTCAGGCCATATTTTAAGGATGACTGGACACGTCAGGCACGCAACTGCAGCATCCCTCTTCATCCAGTTTTGTCTACAGCTGCAGTGTTTGATTCAAGTGTGTGAAGAGAGGGTGTGAGCCCAGTCACGTCTCATTTCTCAGTGTCCTCAGCTTGTCATTCCTCTGACTGGAAGACACTAGATAATTCTTGGATCTCATGTGTATACCATCACTGCTGTTGCTGAAGGAAGAGAAGGATGAAATCTGGGCAAGGAAGCAATACAGCTTGGCCTTAAACAGAGGTTTCTCATTCGCTTCCTTTGGTGACAGGAGTCCGTGGCATCAATAAAAAGCATGAAGAATGTGATTTAATGTGGTAGATGCTCAAAACAGGTTTATTTCACCTAAATAAGCCAACATTCAAAACAAAGGTAGCAGTGCTTCCACTTCAGTGTGACTCTCCAAGGCTCCATTCACCAGGATTTGTGAGGCTCTCTGGGCAGACAAAATACTCGTTTTGTACCTCATTATCCAAAAATATCAGTTTAACATTATCTCCACAGACAGTGTGTAAATATATATATAAACACAACAGCATGTGTCTACACACAACTCCTTGGTACAGCACGACAGTGCATGGCAGAATCCAGTTCTATTCAAAACTTTATGAAAAAGCCAAAAGGCTCACAAAATTCAGACTGTCTGAAGACAAGACCTGCCTCCATGATGATGACACATGGTTTTTGCAGCTGTAATATGTAGACCTTTCAATTTTAATTAAGCAGATGCAATTTTCGTGTTGTTCCTGTCTCATATCTAATTTGTACCCACAGGACAGATTCCCAAATGTAATATTTTGTGTATTTTGAAAAAAAAATAAATTCTGATTAAAATTTAAAACATAGGAGGGAATGTAAGATGTAGGGAAACAGCAGTCTTTAATTGGTTGATTTTAGGAGCAATATTTGAAAATCTGAAGTACAAAATCTTGTCTCTTTCCAACAGAGCTGGAGTATTTCAACAAACTTATCTGCATTCAGCCAAGGTAAATGGCAGGAGTCAATGGAAAAACAGCTCTCCTTACCAAGGAGCCAAAACAACTTCCTTCATTGTAGAGCATGTTGCCATGAGAAGGGTATAAAAACTGGAAACAAATACCAAGGTTTCTGCTAATGAATTAACCCACTAATTTTTAAAATTCCTGATAAGCAATGTTGCTGCCTAGACAAAGGCTCATGGGACGGTGGAGGAAACTGGCTGGGTAATGATACAATCTCTTTCTGCTTTGCAGTGTATTTTATTTTCTACTTTGTTTGGGAGAGAAGTACTGGTCCAAGAAAACAGAGATCGATTTACAAAGCACTTTGAAGAAGTGCAAGTTTATTAGACTGTTCTGAGTACGGCATGTTTTTCTCACCACATCTTGAAATCTGTCTTAAGAACAAACATATTTCAGTATGTACAGCTTTTTTGTTTATCTTTTCATAAAGTCTCTCACCTGGGCTTGACCTGCAGTATATGTGGCACCTACTGGGGTAGAATTCCTTAGGAGAAGGGAGAAAGAATGAAAACATTTCAAAATAATTATTAAAAATCGGAGATTTACTTCCATGGAATTTTCTCTTGAGGAAGGAAGGGGAAGGGAAGGGAAGGGAAGGGAAGGGAAGGGAAGGGAAGGGAAGGGAAGGGAAGGGAAGGGAAGGGAAGGGAAGGGAAGGGAAGGGAAGGGAAGGGAACGGAAGGGAACGGAAGGGAACGGAAGGGGAAAAAGGAAAAAAGAAAAAGGAAAAAGGAGGAAAAGGTTTTATTAAAATGGTCTTCCCATAGTACCCTGATGAAACACTGGCTGTGATCAGAGCTATAATGAGTATCTAGTCCTTAGTCAACTTAATTGTTACACATGCAGACTAGACTGCATACAGTAAGGAAAATGCTATCTAAAATCTGCTTTAAAAGTTATTTAACCAGAACAAATTATCTGGGAAAGTAAAAATATTTCTAACTGGAAAAATATTTCTCTATAGCTGAGCTAGGCCTGACAGCAAACCTTAATGAATTATTAGTACCTTTATTGTTTTCTTTGGCCCCTGTGCACTATATTTGTAAAAAAAGTCAGTAAAAAAGAGAACAATTGTAAAAAGCAAATATTTTGTACAAAAATACAAAGTTTTAAAAGCTCTTAAAAGTATATTCCATATTATTGATAAGAGTTGGACTATATATATATATTTATATAAAATCTATATATTTGTGTATCTGTATAATTTTCCTACATTTGGGATTGTAGCAAATGAAGCAACTGTTTACACAGTTGCTTTATATGTTTTTCTATATGGGTGACCAACAGTCTTACTCAGATTGATAGAATGTCTTTTCTCAGAAGACACAAGCTGCTTATGGATGTGGTTACTGGTTGGGAAGAAAATCTAAAACAGAATTAGTCAAACAGTATTTCCTGATGCTGAGGGTTGAAAGGCCTTAAATAATTACAGGATGCTGGAGAAGAGTTACTGCTGAATTCCTTGATGCTTTTAAATCAGTTTCAGTGCTTGCTTTTTTCTGTTTTCATATTTTTTTCAATTTTGGGAGTCAGTGTTGCTCCTTCCCAGGATTTTCTTCTTTATGTAAATTTCCTTAATATGAAGGTATCTGTAAAGTCACAGCCTATTACACTCCAAGAATTTCCCCTACAGTATGAGAGGAAAAAAAAAAAGAGAAAAACAAATCCTGTAAAAAGTTTGTGAAGATTAAACAAATTTCCAAAAAGAAATTACAGAAATCAAGGTACGTAAAAAATTTGAGCAGACTCTTATCAGATCCTGCAACTCCTGGAGGATAAATATTTGTAAACTTTTCAGTTTGTAAAGCCTTGAAGTTTTCTTAAAATAACAAATGTATGTAGGAAAACCAGGGTAAATCATACTGTTACTTATACATGGTCCTTCACTCAGGACATCTAAACAGAATTATACACACAAAGCTTGCTCAGCACTTAGTTTTGTCTTAGGGGACTGTGGATGGGATGTAATTTTGGCTCTAGCTGACATTTATGTCTGCCTTGACTGAAATTCAACCGACAAGTTTCCAACTGGAGGAGCCAGGCACCCTTGGCAAAGCAATGTTTAAACAGGTTGTATGGAGGAGATAACATTTCAGGCAGAGCCCCACCATGAACACAAACACCGGCTTTGACCACGTTCTGTGACGATGGGGCTGGGCTCTAAGCAGCCATGGGAACCACCTGCCCTCTGCTCCTGCAGAAATGCCTGTGTCAACAGAAAGAGATGCCCTGTGGCAAACACCTGGCTGACTGCTGGGCCACACTGGCAGTTTACGAGTCCTTCACTCCAGCTGCAACAGATGAGATGTTTATGGCCTACAGACCCAGCTTCTCAATCCCATGGGACATATCCTGGCAGTGATGGGAATTTTAAGATCTCCTTAGCTGTCACCAAGTGCCTCCTATTGCATAAACTTTCAAAACAAAGTCTTTCTGGTTTTTGAAGGCTGGTTTCTGACCCACCCTAAGGCCACCTTTCCCTGTTGTGTGGCCACTGACCCTATAAAGACAGCTTCCAGTGTGGGCAGGATGCCCAAATCATGCTCAAAATTTTAGGCATGTGTAAAGCCTACAGGAAATGGTCAAGATGCTGAGCGTGCCATGGCTACAGCCAGCTGCGAAGCTGCTTTTTCCAAGTGAAATAAATCCAGCATTTGCATCTGCATCGGAGTAGAAGTGCTCCACATGTGATTACCCCTCTTCTTCAACAAGGCACTGCTGTAATATTTAGCCAAGATCTCATCTCTAGCTGCAGGACATTTACTATGGGCAAGATGAAATATCAAACCAAGGAGGCCTTGCTTACCTTTGTCCATGTCCTTTTCACAAATGAAATTGTTAACATCTTCACAGTAGAAGTCATTCCAGAGCCCAGCATAGATCAGCCCGGCGCAATCTTCCCCTGGCCCATGCCCATGACTCCAGTTATCAGGCTGCCCAGTTTTCCAGTTTCTTTCCACAAAAAAGCGAGAGATATGATTGCACAACACAGCACACATGGCAGGTTTTCACCACAAGAAATTAACAAAAACATCATGAGATCTGTTCTGAACGGGAAATACACATTGAAACAAACAATACATGACTCTTGCTGCAAATGGAAAACAGATGTATTACAGAGAAGGGAATCTATTTGGCCTCAGGCTGCCAAAACTCAGATACCTAAATTTAGACCAATGAACTTTATTTTAGTTTCTGAGTGTACATGCACACACAGTGGGAGTGCTCCATGCTCCATGTGCATTGCTTCAAGCCTGCAAAACCTGCACACCACACTCCCACTGGCAAATGGGACTGAGAAGAGCCCATGGGCTCAGAGGTACTGCCAAAATAGCAACAACCTGCCCATGCTCATTGCAAAGGCACACAGCCCTCTGACTGCAACAAAGGTGGGCATCTTGGGAGGAACAGCAAAGATCCATATGTTTTAGGTACACGTGCTCAGATGGGAAGGGAATTCTATTGACTTTTAAGAAATGCACGTAGTGTATTTGCACACATCTTCTGAGATCATTAGCTTTGATGGCGAAATTGAGCATAGCAACATTCTCTCACAGCAAACTCTCGCAGCGTTTCCTCACCCTGTTTTTGTTTAGCAAGTGAGAAACGCTTCCAAACTCAGGACTTAAAAGCTTAATTTTCCTGAAGAAACAGGTTGTTGAAGGGAGCTTGTGATTACTGGCTGACACAGTCCATGCTCAGCTAAAACACATGCCTGTCTGACATAGAGCGTCCAACCAGGCACCTGGGAGGAGACACAGCTTTCCAGAAGTAATGAAATACTCCAAAAATTTGTAACCAACAGCTCTGAGGTTACGACAGAGCACCTAAAACCATGGTGTAGTGGAAATCTACTAAAAGCAGCACCTTAAGTAGGATCAGTCACAGTGCTGCCATAAAGAGGAAGAAAGATGAAAATGGGAAAGGAGAAAAAGGGGAAAATATTATGGCTCATTTGAAATGAATCTGACTTTTTCCATGTTTTTCATCTAAATGAACACCAATGAGATCACAGCTAATCATTTCGTAACATCAGACTGACTGTGTAGCCTGTTTTTCTGAAGCACAGCACGTTCAGATCTATAAACCTTTTAGTCTACTCCTCAGTATTAAAAATTTGGGTGGTTGCAATCTGTTCCATTTAGGACAAATTAGGTGTAGCCCTAGGACTCCTGGAAAGCTGCCAATTCAGTTCTCAGCTGGCCAAAGTATAGACGCCCTCATTTCATGCATTTTCCTTATGTTGAATGCTTTCCACTTGGATTTGGGCTTTATCTAAAGACTGGTCATTTTTTATCAGAATGAGTACTCTATTTATAGCCTGTTGTAATGCAAATAAGGAAAATTCAAACCAAAACATTGAAACTGTGCTTTCCATCTCGACTTCGTAATAAAAGTCAGAAGCAAAAGTTTTGGCAAGAAACACTGCGCTGCATAGTTATGTGATTCTTTCATTCAACATTCAGTTCTCTTCCTGGCAAGGAAAGGAATCCTTGTGCATGGAGAAAGAAGAGAGAAAGAACCCCAGCACCCTCAGTAACAAATTAAATTATTGGCATCTACAACCATTTGGATCCATTAGATAATTTCTAGATGCTGCTTTTAAAATTGTCAGCAAGAGTGATAGTATTGCTTTTTATTTACGTACGTGTAAACTGGTAAGGATCCATCCAACCATCTCCATTCATTTTCCTTCTCTGAATCTGTTAGTCCAATCCAGAAGCTGCCTTTCCCAAAAATCTGCCTTTTTATCCATTGCTGTGAAAGAAAGATCTTAGTCCATAACAGGGACAACAGTCTTTGGAGCCAATAAACTACACTGGTTTCATAAGTCTCTTGTTATTAGAATAGGGAGGGCCAGAGAAATTTTTCTAAGCTGAAGATATGTTTCAGGAGTTGGCCTTGAGGACCCCTTGCCCAGACTAGAACCCCTTTCAGTGTTTGCAATGAGGTAGAGAGAGCTAGGCATGAAAATTAGGTTGACAAAAAGTCACAGCTAATATCTTATAGATACAAATTGAAAAAACCCCAGAGTAAGGAATTGTATCTTGACATCCCCACTGCCATGTTGAATAGCATTAAAAGTGTGGTTAGATTAAAGATACTTTTGGGTCACACTAGTCCTAGGCTGCATGTATTAAATCAGATAAATTAAAATTAAATTATATTCACTGCTGTAAAAATTACTTTGATAGTACTCAAGGCATAATGGATTGCATCTTTAAAGGTTCAAAACTCCTACAATTCTCAGCAGCTTTTATGACTGCTCTGTCCCCACCACCTTCAGGATCATCATTAGTTCTTTTAGAGGGAGAAGCTACTGATCAGGAAGAGGGTGGACAAAATTCAAATGACTCATTCAGTGTGTTTACATCTACTATATGAATTTATGGTGCTCTCAGCTTCCCACTATTGTGTGGTTTCTACATGAAGTTAAACAACTTCAAACTCCCTCCTTGAAAAACAGCAAGAGGAGGCAATTACCTGCTCCTCTTTGTTATCGATGATAACCAAGTGTGATGCTTTCTCTTCACAGAATAACTTCGCCTCTGCAAAAATTTCTCTTTCAATTGAAAAGTAGTAGCACTTATCCGTATAGTTCTTCCAGTGAGGAGAACAACCTATGGCATGAATTTTTTCGTGTTAAGCCTGTTACTGGTAACTTAACGGAGCAGTAATAGGGCCAGTAATAAATGGAGGAACCCATACCCATCTACAGCATGCAGTGTGTTGATGGCTTACCATTAGCCTCGGGTACGGGCGTAGGTTCACTCCGTAGTGCCATTGGCGTCTCTGGACCCGGTGGCCCTGGTGGGCCAGGTGGGCCCTTCGGACCGGGCAGCCCAGGGACTCCAGGTAGTCCAGTTAGTCCTCGTGGTCCTGGTAACCCTGGGCTTCCCACAGTTCCTTGCAGGCCTTGAAATCCTGGTGGGCCTTGAGGCCCTGGTGGACCATCCTTGCCTGGTGGCCCTGGTGGCCCTGGGTCTCCATTTGGTCCAGGCAGACCTGTCTTGCCAGGAGAACCTCTCTGACCTTTGGAGCCAGGCGATCCTCTTGAACCTTTTCCTCCTTTTTCTCCTGGTGGTCCGGCTGGCCCAGGTGGGCCCTTCTCACCTGCAGGTCCTGGTGGTCCAGGCTCTCCTTTCTCTCCTTTTTGTCCTTTTAGGCCAGCGGGGCCAAGAGGACCTTGAGGGCCTCTGTCACCTTTAGGTCCCCTTGGACCAGGAGGGCCTGAAACAATGTAAGCATGCAAAGTGGGGATATGCACAGAAAACAAAACAAAAAGCCCACGTGGAGTGGGCTTGCTCAATACCCGTCAGACCAGTGCCACTGGATATTTAACAACACAGAAACTGGGCTAACAGCTGCTTTCATCAGTGATTGTAATAGTGCAGCTGCTTTCCAGGTCCTATATACTGTTGTTCTTTCCTTGTCCTCCACAAAATACAGGATACAGAAAATACTCTGACACACACAGTCATGTGAACTGGACAGTGACACCGTGCCCCAGGTGACCAGCCAAGATGCCTGTCCCTGCAAAACCCTGTGCTCTAGCCTATACTAGTTTATGCACTAGTCCTGTGTGTTGGTGGTCCTGTTCCTTCACTCTGCCAAGCTCCCTTCTTCTTCTAGTCTCATCTCTCTGCTCTTAGACCCAGGACTTTTTCTCCTGATCCTGTTTGTTGGTCTGTCAATAATGGGGTGTCAAAAAGAGACAAAACGATGGACAGCTAGCAAAAGGCTAGCAATGGGAAAGACCAGCTCTAACAAGATAGGGAACAATAACCCATGATAGGAAATGGCAATACTGTGACAGCAATAAACAGCAAAACAATTTCGGATTCTGTTCATGGATGAGCAAATCCCTTGTCAATACCTCCCCACCCCCAGTACCAATCTACATAATTCAAACTCCTCCAGAGATAGATTTCCAAGCTGGAATCATTTAGGCCTGGTTGAAATGAGAACGGTTAAGGTTACTGACATATAATCTTGGCTCTATTGCAGCCTTAGTTTATTTGAAGCAATGGATTTATATTTGTGATTAGAGTTTTAGACTGGTTCACATGTGATTGGAAATATGAGTGTTCTTTTCATTTGGGATAATATTTGGCTGGGAGAAACCTCCTAAACCTGATGCTATTTATTTCTGGAGAAAATAAAATATCCCAGGATTAAAAACTAAGCAAAGTAGGATGTTTTCTGGCAGGCTAACAACTGGCTTAAAGTGAAATAGCAACTTGTTTTTCAGTAAGGGTGGACCTTTCTGGGAATAGTCCAACATATATTTTTAAGCCATTTCCTCCTTACTGGGGATTGGTTTCTTGAGGTTCCACACCTTCACTCACTTATTTTAGAAACTAAATCAAAAGCAGATCCAGTCAGTCAGTCAGACAGAATAAAATTTTGCTAAGTCAGAACCTTCTTTCACAACATCCTCATTTTAGCTATGTAAAAAAGGCATAGAAAAATTAGTACAGAAAATTCAAGCTACATGTACATTTCCAAACTTTAGGATTAGATAATGGAAAACGCCAGGACTCTGTACCAGCATTCACTAACTTCCACAGAACTAAAGAAGTAATGCAAGCAGGAATTCAGCACACAATCATTAAGGAAGCTGCATACCTTGTAGGATAGTGAAGTTCTTGATGAGCTGGCCATGTTTGGAATCCACCAGCTTCATTTCTTCCATGATTACTGACAAATTGGCAACTTCAACATCTAACCTTGACCTCATCAAATCCTGTTGCACTTTGAGAGATGCAGAGTCTATGCGAATATTGGCTAGCGTGCTGTTCATAAAAATCAGCTCATCGGAGTGTTTACTTAAGGTGTCTGTACAAGTTGTCCTGACCTCATTGAGATCGCCCGACAGTGTCCGTAGGTGATGAACAGTGTAGCTGATGTTGTTGATGATATTGACTATATCTGTTTCAAAGACCTGGAACCTTTCTTCTAGATGGCTGAATCTGGCAGCAGTTCTGTTTTCATCTCCTTTATGCTGTTCCTGGAGATCCTTTAGACTTTGTTCGTTGGCTTGGGCAATTGTGGTGATGTTCTCCATCTGCCCACTGAAGGAGCTGAGCTGATTGTTCATGTCTTCAAGTGTATCATTATTGGCTTTTGCCATTGCTGAGTTGTTGGCAGCCAAAGCCTGTAAATTGTGTACTTTCTCCTTAAGCCAGTCAGTGTCCTTCCGGGCCTGAAGGACAACCTGCTGCAGATTTTGAAAGTCATTCCTGATTCTTACAATAGCCGAGCTTGTATCTTCCATTGACTTCTGTAAGACACTGATAAGATTTCTTTGCTGTATTTGAGTCAGGTTTAAGTTGTTCAGGCTCATGATGAGCACATTATGAGAATGCTCTTGGCTTTGCAGGTTTGTTTGTATAGTACTTGTGTCTTGTTGAAGATTGTTGATATAGCCAGTATATGCCTGAAGAGTCTTATTGACACTGATGATCATGAAAGAGTTACTATCTAAGGCACTTTTCATTTGGTTCTGTCTATCATCTAGCATATTTCCAGACTCTTGCAGCTTCTCCAGTGTATCTTTGTTTCTGGTAGTTTTCTCTGCAATGTCATGAAGTTGCTGACGAAGAGCCAGAATATCAGATCTGAAGCTGGACAGTTCAGTGTTAGTATTCAAGGCTTTTTGTCCAGCTTGGTCATCTGTTGTAGATGAAAAAAAATAAAAATGGAAAGGCTTTAGGGTTTTTATAAACACAGTCTAAAACAGCATACTGTATTTTAAGAACAGTCCGGCTGTCAAACTGTTCAGTAGAACTTTTACGCTATCTTTTCCAACAAAAAGAAACTACTAAGCAAAGTTCTGACTCTAGACAGAGAAAAAAAGCAGAGGAATTGATGGAGACCTTGTGTCTTGTTGAGGAGAGCAAAACGGTGATTCTGTCATCACAAATAGGGAAAACTATGGCTAGAAACTGATGAGTATATACAGTCAAGAATGCTGTGTTCTGAATGAAAACCAAATGGGAAACAGAATTCAAAATATTAAACAGGTATCAGCAAGTATATGTTTTGAAGTTACAACTGGATTTTGCTGAAAGTTCAGAAGTTTATTTTATCTGTTCATGTTTTCTTCTTCCTTTTCATTACAAGTGAAATACCCTCATTGTGATTTAGTACATACAGTTCAAATTTTTAAAATCTTGAGTTTAGTTTTAAGTAAGTTCTCATACTTTAAAGCAATCTGGGTTAGAGACAAAAGCTTTGCCACCAGGTTATTTCAGATATGTCAGGATAAGATATATTTCTGGTTTTCTCTCTAACACATTACTATTGCTTTTAATGACATTTATTTTGCCTTTATTATTTCCTCATGTTCTGAGTTTGAGGAAGGCAAAACCTCAAATCTTTGAGGAACATCTCTGCTTGTGCTTACATTGCCCTATGGAATACTTTTGGAAGCTTGTTCAAGTATGATAAAGCATTTGAGATTGCACAGCCTAACATCCAGGACATAGAAACCAAGGAAATAAGCAGTCAACACTTGCCTTCAGGGAAGACTCCCTTGCTTGACCTCAGTCACTTCACTATCCTGCTCACAGTCCATATATTTTTGTCCTCATCTAAGTGTAGCTATATTTATGAATTAGACAGTCTGAAGTCCATAATTTCAGATGATGCCAAGAGAGAGCAGTATGGTTTTCATAAATTACAGTGAATACAGCTGTGTATGGTGCTTTTGTCTGGTGTGATTGAATGAGTCATGATGGCAAATGTCAAATGATGGCTTGTGAGACCACAGCCTGAAGTGTTTATGGAGTCTTTTGCGGATGGACATTTTCCTGAGCACAGTTCCTCTCCCTGCTGCTTCTCTCACTCCCAGATCTTCTCAGTTCTGACTCTGTGTTTACTTCTTGGCTATAGCTCAAATTATACTGTGTTCCTCACACAGCTCTGACAACTGCCAGGTCCACATACAGCTAATCCCTGAAGGCCTGTCTTCCATTCACCACATGCTTTTATCTTCCTGGCTCTACGGCACTCCTCTTACTTTTATGTCCCCTACTCAAACTGCTCGAGAACATTCCTAACTTCCTCCAAGGCAAGTCCACTTAAATGAGAACTGATGATCCTGAGCATCTCACTGGGCACCCATCCAGCAGCATGTAAAAATGTACAGGCATGAAAAAAGCAGAAGTGCTCCAAGTTGTGAAAATTTAATCAGCATAATATAATAACCCAAATAGAATCCAAAAGGCTGCATGAGCTTTAAAGTATAACATTTACTTCTGTAGATATGTCAGTAAAAGAACATGTCACTGAATTACCCCACGTCTTTGAACTAAATGCAGTGTGTAAATACTTTAGAAGCCAGCTCCTTTTTGAGGGAAAAAAGTTGTTAAAATTTATAATCAAGCTGAAAGCAAGGAAGTTTCCCTAGAAATACATGTCTCAATATATGGTTTACAAAACTAGACAAAATTTATTTCAAGAATCACATGCATGTATGTGTATATTAATACTTCTATACTAAAAACTATATGTCTATGTATAGGAAGAAAAGTAAAAAGGTACACTTAGAGAGTAGAATCTTTATCCATGATTTTTTTTTTTACATCTTCCTGAAAATTGAAAACTTGGGATAGACCCAAACAGATAATAATCTTATGTTCTGTATTTCCTTAGATGATCAAGAAATAATTTATGGAAGTAATACACTTGCCTCAGACATAAGAATTTTGAATAGCTGCTTATTTGTGTACCTTGTAAAATGGCCTTTAGCTTTGAATCTTAATTGCTAAAACAGCATCAAGATGACTGGGTGACAGGTGCTCATTTTATGTAGAATCTTTTGTGCTGTAGAACAGCTTCTGCTAATGTTTTATATCTCTACCTCAGAGAAGATTCTCTCCTGAGGACATTTAAGTGTCTCTTTATTTAAGTATAAATGCTTTCAGAGTGACTTCAGTGGGAAGTATTCTTAGAAAGTTCTTCTAAGTAGAGCTGATCTGAACTATTTTAAAGTATTTTCCCATGTACTTGAGGAACTGGAATGGAAGTACTGTATCTTGTCATAGGGAGAGATTTTTCAGACAAATTTCCTGCCTCAATCTGCCAGGAGAACACCCCAGGTCCATAATACAAAAGGACTTTGCTTGTGTGTAGATTACCTAATTTCTTCAGATCACTCTCCACTTCTGTAAGCTTTTCTGTGTACCTTCTGTGGGATGTTTCCAGGCCACCTGTCACATTGTCCATTTTTTCTACAACTAGGGGAGAGAGAATAGTATGTTATGGAAAGAAGAATAGGGAAATAATGAAAAAAGACTAGTAGACAATAAAGCAAACAAAACCTCACCCCACTACCAGCAAACAGTAAAAAAATAAAACACCTTAAAATTGCCTTGCTTGCCATTACACTCTGCTGTTGCTCTGTGAAATGTTGGAAGCATGAGATCCTATGTGCTGGTGGACCCAGAATTCTTCTACTTCTTCAGTCTACCAGCAGTCCCTAAACATTTTTTTTTGCCCATGAGCAATCTCTCTCCTGAATGAGGAAATCCCTCTTTGTGGGTTTTCCTCGCAAACAAAGTCCTTTTCTTTTAACAGTATTTCCATGCTTCAAAGACATTGCTGTGTGGCAAAGGAGAACTGATTGTGTGAAAGAAGACTTCCTTTAATTTTGCTATGAGCCATTTTTCCTTAAAAAGAAATTTTTTTTTCTTGTGCCTTTCCATCATTAAAAGTTGCCACCTGGATAGCAAATTTAGGACTGAGAAAGTAACTAGTACATATTTCAGGGGGTTTAAACATATTTATAATGGTACAGATCACACAAAACAGTCTTGAAATTATTCTGCCTCATTAAGATTGAAAAGATGGTCATTCAGGAAGTGCAGATTCATGACTGATGTGCCTTTTGTTTTGCAACGCCTGAATACTTTTCTTGTCACTGAGACATTCAATTATTTGATGAGATTAATATGGAAATGGAAAAAGCAGAGCAACAAATAAACAGTCTGAGTTGTCTTCCAGTTGCAAAAATGTGAAAAACTTGCAAGGTTAGAGGTAGCCTACAGCTTTCACATAAAACTTTGTCAATAGCCTTTTGCATTCAAGCCACAACCAGGGGTAGAAATTGTTTCTCATCATGAGATTATTTAGATTATTTTGCTGCACTGGGAGCAGAATGGGTCTGTAACAATCCTGGGAGAGGCTACACAAATTATTATGCCAGCTCCTTCTTTCGAACAGAAGAAATAAAATGTTTCCCATGTTTTGAGGTTCTGTAAACCTGTGTGGAGTAGGGGTACTTCTAATTCTTTCTGTTTGTGGAATGGTCTGCAGCTAGGAAAGAGTTTCATAAAAAATGTTGGTATGTAAAGATTTGGGTTTTCACAAGAAGTGAAATTTAGGGATGTTTTGCTGCTCATGAGTGACTACATGAATCCCAGACCTTTAAAGTGTAGTCTATCAGGTGCTCCTTCTTTATTAACTTTTGCATTTGTTTTTCTGATTCTGGGTAGTTACACAGGAGGCTTTTACCTCCTTGCATCCCCAAAACCAACATGAGAAAAACAGACCAAAACTATCTGATGCAACAGCACTGAGGAGTTACAACAGAGAAAAAGTTTCAGGGTCTTCAGAGAGACCATACACCCTTTGGTGAATTGTCTGCCTGCTCCTTTCTAGGCTGCTAACAAGCCAGTAAAAAAGAGACTCTACTATGTGTGCAGTCAGTCAGAGTGTGGCTTTCTGTATTTGAGATGATGACAGATTGCTTGCTAAACACCAGACCCAGGCTACAATAATGGCTTTGCTTTTTCAGAGGGACAGTTGCTCAATAACTTCTGCTTTAGAAAGCATTTTTCTCCCCATTATAACACTAATTTTTCACTGGTTCTTTTGCCCATTAAAGTTGCCAAAATTCTACATGCCATTTTTCCTAAATGAAGACAGAGTTGATTCTCTGTTTGTCCTGCCCTGCTGTCTTCCAGGCTGGAGCCCAGAAGAGGAAAGGTCCCCCAGCTACTTCTGACACTCCACTGGTATCTGTATAAACCTATGCATCACATGCAGTGACAGTGAGGACTTGGCTTTTCCTTCCGGCTCTAGGCAGCTCCTTATTCAGTCTGTGGTGCTCTCCTTTGTCTACACATGTTCACTGCCAGGGCATGGCTCACTCTGGGCACTTAGAAGGACCTTATGAAATCATCTGTATTTAAAAAGCAGGCCTAATTCAAGTGTTTCTGCTGAATCAGTGCCTTGACTAGCACTGTCACATCACCTATGGTTCTTGTTAATCCAGATTTAGTGTAATATTTAACTGTTTTCCCCAGTTAGACAACACACTTGGAGTTGGAAAATTAATATATATTATCAGTAATTAAAAGAAAAATGTAATTTCTTCATTTTGCTGTCCAAATGAATGCATTTTGTACTTCAGATCTGAAGTTTGTAAAACTAAACAATCATATAACAAGTATGTTTTCATGGTTGAATGAAATCTAACACTGGAAGCTTGAGTTAAAATATAACCCTGAAGAGTCCAAAGCAAATGAAAACAGTAGTAATCCTATCAATAAGTAGTAGTCTGGGAGTTAAATGAGACTAAAAAGAAGTAATTATACAACAGCATATGGTATTTTCATTGTTCAAAGTGATAAAAACCTCCCAAACCACCCAACTCCAGCAATAGAAACAGAAGAGGTCTCTGCAAACAAGACTGCAGGGTTAGCTCTAGGGCTAAGCTGCCATCTCATAGATAAACCTATGCAAGTATTTGCTTTATACTGGGATGGGATCTTAGCCTCCTTGCACATACATATAAAGTATGTGCAAAAATTACAGATTGCTTTATTAATGTTTTAAAGAATAATTTGTCTTTTCAAAGCAGAATACTAAACTTGACTTGTTATTCCTTCATGTTTTGTTTCCCTGTTATTCATTCATGTTTTGGTTTTGGGTTTCTCAAACATACTATGTAATTTTTACCACTAGTTTGGAGGTTTGTTCTGTGTTGACTTTGCCTCCCATTGAGTTACTTTTTTGCTTGCCATATTTAATTCACTGATTACTAGTTTTAATGTTTTAAATCACAAAGGATATTTAAATGCGAAGTAGGAAATTAAAGTTTTAAAAGTAGTTTTGGGCTTTATAAACATAAGTGTGGGAGGCAAATTTAATGGAAACTTAGCTAAGAGACTGAAAGAATCCCTGATGCCAGCAGAATTCCTTCTTTCAGTGTAATATTGCAGTAAAAAAGACAAGCCAAATTCTGATACAGAGAGGCGAGTTCAAGAACTCTATACTTGTATTCTGAGTTTTGTTCTCCCTTTAAGGTCTGATCCTTTCTCAAGAATCAAAACTATTACAGTAATTTATTTGAATATGTACTGTCAGCTGGAGTTTTATCTAATTTATGTTTTCCCTGCAAATCAGCACGTGGGTACCTTGAAGACAAGGCACTTAAACTGCAGGTACAAAGGGCAGAATTAATACCTGACATATGAACATTTACTGCTTGGTGTTACAGAAGGAATACTTGGATTCAACAAGACTTTTGTCTCTTTGCCTCTTTTCCTTGGCATCCAAATGTTGCAGTCACCAAGCTGGTGAGCAGTGGAGCAGTGGTCACCAAAATGTCTTAGGGTCAAGATATGCATTATCCACCTTCCTACAATCCCTTTTACATTTATTTGTGAAAGAGGGAATTCTTTTGTCCTTTTCCTGGATAGCTGTGATTTTGTACTGCTATGACAGAAAGACTCATCCCTGGTGAATGACTGCTCATTTTAAGAAGGAAGTTTAGAAATGAGTGAAGCAAAGTTTGAGCCTCAAGAAGAAAGCAAAGCCTGGGGAAAAGATCGTGCTAGGGGCTCCTATAGAGAAAGAAGCTTGAAAATTAGATTGAAATGAGGAAGACAAACTCCTCAAAAAGTCTTCTGGACAGATTCCTTATTGCTACTGCTTCCTCCACACATGTAATCATTTGCCAAAGCAAGATAAAGAGCAGTAGTCTCTCAAAAAGATATTCTGCATCTGATGCTGAGTGAGGGCTGAGTCTTTTGGGAAGCCCCAGAACTGACAGCCTTACATAAAACTCTTGAGGGAAATTTTGCTAAATCCCAGTCATTTAGTGGCTGGGTTAAGTCTGGGAAGATCCCATTCTCATCTGATGTAAGCAGATCTCTGTAGATTTATATCTGCAAAAGGCTTCCCCTAATCCATGTGACCAAATGATCTTATATTTATAGATCAAGAGTAAGTTTTTGAATCCTGGAAGGTTTTTTGTCCCTCAAAATCTGACTTCCAGAGACCAGTTAATTCAGGAGATGTATACACATACATGCACTGCATTTTTTTTCATTTGATGTAAATTTGCCACTTTCTGTCTTCTTTATCATGAAACAGGATTACCTAAATCTCTCTATCTATTCCTCATATTCTCTCTTCTCCCTGGATAAATTTCTCCCACTCAAAACTGTGCCAAATCCTCTTAAATAATTATTTATCCTTTCTATTTCTACAATTTCCTTTTCTTTCCCTGGCAAAGGACCAGAGGTGATGTCAGCTGTGCTTTGAGTGCAGCTGTTGGCAGCACAGGATGCACTGCATGCTAATCACATGAATATTTACCTAGCTGTTTGGAGGGGCTCTGAAGCTACTCTCAGAGCCATACTCAGACAGGTAGTTTAGAGCTAGTTCGGTTTTCTCTGCAACAAGCTGTGAAACCCTGTTATAATGCTCACAGTGATGTTGTTTGCGTTCCTTTTCATACAAGAAATTCACATTCATTAATGTATTATACCTGTAACTGCACAATAAGCAGGTATTTATATCAAAACAGTTCTATAAATGCCTAAGTGGCTATAGTTAATTTGTGATAAAGATTTATAGGAATTTTTAGCCATGTTTCCCAATGTGCCCAACCAATAACTTGCACAATGAAATTCTCTCTATTACTGGGTTGCTCAACTACCAGAATATTTGAAATTACTGTTAAAAATGTCTAAATATCTTGTTCATCACAGTTATTGTGGATAGTCAATACACTGGCACCTCCTGGTTTTAATTCTTCCAGATATTTCAAAGTAATATTGATCCTACATTTTGTTCCTGTGATAAATATTATATTAGTAAGATATTCCTGGCTGTTGCACATGTTACATAGCTTTCCATCTTCCAGTACTCCTTCTTGGTGGAGGGAATGATAATTTTGTTTTAACTTTCCTTTCAAATGTCTAATCTAGTTTCAAAATTTCAAAATTATTTGAAAGTGAAATTCTAAGGTTGTAGTTCATTATGTATGTACAAAAAGCCAACATTGCCCATTGATATTTAGGCTAAAACGTGACAAATTGGCTAGCAATGTGTTTGGACTCCTGTCTGAAAGTAAAATGTTGGTCTCAATGCATACATACCTTTGTATCCCAGAATGGCTACTGTGATTGTTAACAAGGCACATAAAATGTATAATAAGATGATAGAGAACTTCAGTGCCCAGTTATTTTTACACTTGGTACATTGGCTCCCCTCCTGAATACCTGCAACAGAAGATATAAAGAAATTTTAAAACAATGGCAAAGAACACATTGCTGGGTTTGTCTCCCCATTTCCTTTCCTCTGTTGTTTCCTAAAGAGCAAATTATTTATCTAAGCAGATGATGTTTACGTATGGGGTGCCTATTTGCCTATGCTGCCAGGATAAAACATCATGGTGATTAAAATATCCGCTCAGTCAAACAACTACTTTGGGATTTTAGCATGTGTAAGAGAAATAGGTTCTGCTTCACTGGAAAACCTGTGGCTTTCCTGAGAGATGGCTATTTTCTGATTGTGCTAACAAGACTGGTGAGCTTTGGAAATAAATCCTTTATTAGCATCTCCTGGCAGAGGAGATGCATCACACTGCAGCAGCTCTTTCTTAGCATTTGGTATCCCTGTGGGGGCAATAAGACACAACAAATGTTCTGGCAGAAAAAATCCACAGAAATAAGAGTGCATTGTGAAAACCTGGTAGGAGTAGTTCTGCTTTGTAACAATCACCACAGAGAGTTGCCATGCAAACACTTTCTTTCCACAATGAGAGATGCTTTTTGCATATTTTTGGGGGGCTTTGGAGAACATTATTTCCACAGAAAAGAAGGGGTGCTTTACTGACACAGCCATCCTTACATCTACAGAAAAATGCTGGTGAATTTCTCTTTGTGGACAAGTTTAAGAAAGATGCCCTCAAATTGATGAAAGAAAACAGAGCTTTACTATTCTATACTCAAACTTTTTTGCAGAACGTCTTAATATCTTTGAGTCAACTTTCTTCTTTTGTGCTCCCTGGGAATAGCTCAAGAGCTTTGGAAGAATAGCTTATTAATCAGAAGCACAAATGTGTAAAAACCTGAAAACTGGACTGATGTGCTGGAAGAAATAGGTGGGATTTATCTGTTTTTGTAACGTGTGTTAAGCAGGCCAGGATTAATATAACTTTCTGTGTCTGTCAGAAAATGCATTTCTTTGATATTTCACTCTATTTGTGTACTATTAGGAGAGTCCCACAGGAAAGCTTTAAGCTCTAATAAATTCTATGTACCAGATTACTTAACTAATCAAAACTTGCTCTGTAGCTTTTTATGAGTAACTTATATTTCCCCTGAGGCCTAATGCACAGATGATTTTACTTTTCCAAACTCATGACCTTCTCTAGAGTGTTTTTTTGTTTTTCATTTTTTTTAAGAGGAAAGTACAGGGCACTTTCTTTGGGTTCAAGGAGGATGGCTGACCAACATAATGAGTTAAGTCAACTGCATTTCTTTCTCCAGTGACATTTTCCAATGACTTCCTTTAAACCTAAGGTACTTGAAGAAGGAAGGATTACCATAGTGGAGTGACCGAGGAAGAGGATTTATACAAAGTTTATGTGACAAAGCATTTTCTTCAATCCTCTTTGCACATATACTCACTGTGGCTAAGGCAGAAATCTTTTGCAGGTCTTTTCCACATTGCATCATCACATGTTTTTTCTAAACTTTTTAGGTGTGACATCACATTCTGTTGCCATGTGATGAAAGTGATGTCATAGATTTGGGTTCCTTGTGGTTTAGGCATAAGACAAACTGGCAACATCTGGTTCTTTTTTCAAGAACATTATGGGAAAATGAGACAAAGGCTTGTAAACATAAACTCAAGAACAGAAATTCCAGAGGGTAAAGGCTTCTCTTCTGCCTGTGAGGTGGGAAGGGAGGGAGCTGGCACAGAGACAGGCAGTTGCATAGCCCATTTACTGGTGACATGGATTTGCAAGGGTAGTAACTCCTGCACCACAAAAGAAAAAGTGAAGGATTCATAATTCAGTAGTCAGGTTAGCTTATGGATCCTGATGCATGGGCTGGCTTGCTTTCTTTGCTTTACAGTCTCATGGAGTTTGCTGGTGAGGAAGCTCTAATTGCTGGAAAAGCAGGAAAGGGAAAGTGCAGTTTTCTAAAGGTTTGCAATAGGTATTCAGAGACTGAAATGATTTCACAGTAGTAACTTGGTGGTGTCTAGAGCACCATTTTGCTGGTCTTAGCTGGTGCTAGTGGGCTTATTGAGCCCCTGTGCCCTAAATGCAAGGTTCTTTTGCTGAAGGGTTTAAAATTCAGATTCCAATTTGGTTGTCTTTGAAAGTCTCACATATCCAAAAACAAGCTCGGGGCAAAACTCACATCATATTCACTTTCTACATACACAGATAAACAGAAAGCTTGATCCTTCTCATTTTAATGTTAATTGAAGCAGGCCTAGATCCTTATCTGGGAAGAATGATGGACTGCAGAGGTACAAAACACAGAGAAAGGCAGAAGTAAAAACAAAGCCTTTGGCAGCAATTGCACAATGAAAAGTTTCACTTGATAACTGTCTCATATTAAGATTACTCATTTTATGACATGACCTGCTTTCTGTCACTGTACTCCAGCTTCCTGGGTAGTGTAACGAGCTGAAACTTCATCAATGTCACTGGATGTATTGCAGTTCAGCATCAAGCATCATGTCTGTCCCAGTGCTTCACAGGGATCTATTTTCACTTGTCTCAACCCTCTCTACCTCTGCTTCAATTAAACAGCACTTCAACTTTTCGGAACTTTTTTAGTTTCAGTGTACTTCAAACTGACATCAGAACAGCACCCAACAAAATCCAGACCTTTCCATCCTTTAACAGCCCAGCACAGTTGGTATCAATAACACAGGCACATCATACTAAAACCATCATACAGGCTGGAGTGATTCCATTAACTAACTGGCCTGGACCTGTGTATTGCATTCCTTACTGGGGCTTTCTGCCTGTCAGCCTAAAATTACATCTGACTGCCAATGAACTCCTGCTACCCTCATCTAACATGACCTGGGTCCAGGGCTGGAGTGAAAAACCAGGGAGCTCTAATAGGCTCCTTTGTTTTCTTTTACCTAGGATGCAGTAAAGTCTTTCAGAGAAATTATATCTGTTCTTTATTGCAAACATGTAGTGCTTAACTCTGCTGCTAGTAACACGTGATTTTCTAGTTTACTAAACATATAAAAACTACTACAGAAATACCAAAGATATAGGTACCCCTTGAAGAAAAGATGTGGAAGACCCATTCTGATGTCTTTCTGAGCAATTAAATATATCAGGCTATATGCAAAGGCAAAAGCCAGGAATGCAACCCTCTCTGTATAGGAATTAAATACAGTATAACCAGGGCTCCCCAAACTCCCCAGCACACACTCTGACTTCAAGTTGCCCTGTTATTCTTTCCCACTACCTTCCTTAAGGATCATGCCCAAATAAGACTGATCTGATAGAGGAGATGCATTTAGCTCATGTTGTGAGGACACATTTTTATTCAAAGCTTCTTCTGAAATGATGGGATAGCCAAAATACTAGGCAACAACAAATGGAACACAATTAAAAATGGTTACTGTGATTACACAAAATCCAGCAGGCTGGCATAAAATCATGAAGGTTTACCACAAAAGCTGTGAGTTGAGGTTTGAAAGAGCCCATGCTCAGGCTTTAATTTGGCAGAATTTCTCCAATTTTATCCACTCGACTGCTTGCTGTTATGACTGACATAAAGTTCAGAATTCTTCCAAGAGATGTATCACATCTCATCTAGAAAGCTCAAGACTAAATGGAAAGACCCTACACACATATCCCATTGACAGAACAAATGTAAAACCTGCAAAAGGGTGTTCTTGGCTGAAGCCAGCTCTTCTCCATTTGTTAGTGATGCTCCTAGTGCAGCACACTTCTCCCTGTGTCCTGTACACGTGTTTTCAATGTTGGTCTGCTCCCAGACATTTGTCACTGACTTCCAAACCCAGGGAGCTGGGGTCACTTCCACATGACGTGCATTTCTCACTGCCAATTTGATCAATATTTAATAAATATCAGATGGGACACAATGTGCCTCATTTCACTGGACACATGCTTTTTTCCATTCCTTTCCCTGACTTATTTTAATAAGAACTCTGGTTTTTCTGCCTCACTGTTGGGAAGACATCTGGCCAAACAGACAGCAACCTAGTACAAAGAGATCCTGCTGGCTCACATGCTTTGGGGACCCCCTTCTCTGCAAACCAAAATGCTCACAAAAAAATATGCAAGTGAGACATCCCCCTGTTACCAGGCTTTGTAGTATTTGTTTTTATAGCATTGCATTCCAGTGACTGAAGACTTTGTTCTCATGCAGGGGGTATACATCTGCAGATTCTTTTTGGGCTCCAAGAAGAGGTTTTGCCGAAGGAGGAGCTGTTTTTTTTTGGGTTTTATTTGTTTGGGGGATTTTTGTTGTTGTTGTTGTTGTTTTGTTCCATGGCTTTAATGGGAGACTAAATATCTTTGCTCTTTGTAAAAACCTTACAAAAACCCCTGACTCCTCAACTGTATTACACTTCAGGAGCACAGCTTTGAACACTGGAATATGACATAAACACACTTTTTTCTTTCTTTTTTTTTCTGAAGAATTCTCTTACAAGTATTAGCCTCTCTGTTTTTTTCTTGGCTCTGGCTGCAGGATCATAGGTGGCCTCATAGTATTTCTGCTAGCAAATCAATTTTGACAAAGATGCAAGGTTTCCTTCATAACCCTGACAAGAAATAAGAATAAGAATGATAAGATAAAGAAATGTAGTGCAGGAAATGAAAATACATTAGTTTGGAGGGGTTTTCCCCAGTGTGATTTACTGAAAAGAGATAACATCCTTGAATTTCAGAAGGAAGACTGCAAGCCTAGTTTGCAGCCTTCAAATGACTGTTTTCTCAAAGTTAATGTTTTCAAAACAGCAGTGGATCTAATACCTATATTTAAAGGGACCTGAGCAAACCATATTTAAACATCTAATTCAGGCCTCCTGCCCATAGCAGGGAGGCAGAAACAACATGATATTTGAGTTCCCTTCCAACATGAACAATTCTACATTCAATGTGTAACTATGAGTCAAATACTGAGAGGTAATTAACATTGCTGAGTTGCAACAAGCTCCCAGTGGTGTCTATCTCACTAGCAAAAGTAGGTGATCCCATGAGGAA